ATTGACGATCCGATCGCACGTTGTCGTCCAAAAGTAGTTCGCGGGCTTCGTTATCGTTATCAATCAAGCAGAGTCAAAGTGTCGCCGTAAACTAAAATTCGCAATGCGCCTCGTCCCTTTGAAAGTTTGCTCTCTGGTGGGGGAATATGCAGGCGAGGACAGCTGCGCGGAACCACACAAATAAAGGCCCAATTCACCTGAGATTGAGTCGCGGGGAGCAGCTGGAAAGATGAGCAAAGATGTAACCAGATTCCATGACGTTGAGAAAGATTGCGGCGGCCGGGGTTTAATGAGAATTTGTCCGAAGCGCGCGCGCGAGTTGAGTTAAAGAGCAGAAAAAGCAGGTCGAATACGTAAGATATGTAAAGATACCGAGGACCCTGCGCGAAAAGCGAGCGAGCTTCCCAAACTCACCTTAATTGCTGCCCCTCCACTCGGGGCTACCCTTGGCTTAGCTTCACGCACAGTGGGTAGCTCTCCCCGATCCGGATGCCATGACTGGCCGATAAACCCATCTCTTGGTGCGGCATGTCGCGCGTGGAAGGGATGGCTCTGTATGCCCTGCCTCTGGCGTGATCGAGCCTGGCGCCCTGACTGGATCCCTGAAGGAGGGACGGTTGGTAATCAGATCCGAGGCGGATAGTCTCGAGTTCCATGAGAAAGCTTGGAAAAGTACAAGCCTCATGCTTTGTGGACGTAGATGGCGCTCCCACCGGTTCCGGGAAATCGAGTCATTCAAGGGGGCTCATAGGCAGCTGGCTTCGAGAACGATGAGCCAGACCGAACAAAGATACGGGCGCGATAGACAGCGTGCGGCGTGTGTGTTCCTCCCAAGCAGCAGATAGGCAGGAGGTCGGAATCACAAGCAGCCCGAACCCTGTCCATCCGGTGGGGTTCCGCGAGTCTATGATCCATCGATGTTTTTTTGAGCATGCGTTAGACATCGATGCGGCCAAACAAGGCGATGATGCGTGCGTTTGGCAGACGTCAAAATCGACCATCCTGGACTGCCCTGGCCAAATACTATTCCAGTACAATTTCCTTGACCGCCGTTAACACGGCTCAGGCAGATAAAACTGGCGTTTATTTTGTTTTTCGTAGCCGGCTAAGGTTGTTGTGAAGATCGGATCGGATTTCAGCGGAGATTTCGGTTGAAATTTCATGGGTGTACAGAGTACGATCGCCGAAGACCCCAAAGACCCTGGCCGCAGGTGTCAACAAGACCGCAAAAGGCCCGACCTCCGCTTGAGATCCGCTTCGAATGTCGCTGAATTGGCTTCACAACACTCGAATTGCACAGCTGTCGTGATTCATAAACTTTTGGTGTTTTGTTTCCTGAGTCGCGTTGCATTCGTTCAACCCTCTATTGTGGGAGCAACGTTTGCCATTCTCCGAGGACTCGCAACTCGACCTCCCATTAGCCGGGGTGAGATTGTGCAGGAGTAGCTCTCAAGCCAATCAAAAGAGCCATGGGCAACACGACTTCTGGATCCGAACACCGCATTGCCATGCACGGCAGTTGACACGAGAGCGAGAATAAGGATCGCTGGAGCTGTGCTAGCGAGAGCCAACCATGTTCCGGTATCACGGTTGCGCTGTGCAAGTTTGTCACTGTCGCGCTCAGGAGAACCAAACCGCGCTGGTGGCCAGAGGTTTGGACCTTGGAGGAGAGATCGTTCAAAAGAGCGCAAAGGGTCATCCCCAGATGACAGAATGGACGCGGGAAGCAGCAACCCAAACGTCGTTCTCTGCTGTGGTAGTCGCCGTACTTCTTGAGATTGACTGCTCGTCTTGTCCGCATCATCTCCCTTGTCACTCTTTTGCCTCAGAATCCCTCGTTTCTTCGCACTCATCAAGATGCATCTTGGCGCAGCCATCATCGCGGCTCTGAGCCTCACAGGCTATGCATTCCCGAGACAGCGACCTGGATATGTCCGGATGCTGCCGCGGGCCAACGACACCGAAATCTCATGCGGGCAGACCGAGTACACGCTGACCGAGGTGAGATCGGCGGCGGATGCGGCTTGCCAGCACGTGGAGGATGGCACGACAGCGGGCAGCTCGAGCTATCCGCACACGTACCGAAACCAGGAGGGGTTCGACTTCAACGGAGTCGAGGGTCCCTTTGTCGAGTTTCCGATGAAGACAAGTGGTGTCTACAAGGGCGGTAAGCGATTCAGTGCAAATGGCATTTGTCGGTTTGCGTGGGTGGTGATGAGATCGGCGATCCGGGCGTGGGTGCTTGTGCAAGCTATTAGTCGCAGCTCGCCAAGTCGCATTAGCGGCAGGGCTGGCCGCTCCCATCCCCCCCGCGATGCAGCGCTATCTCCATGATTTGAGAAGAAAAAGTGAGGCTTGAGCTGACAAGTTTCTCGTGATTGTAGGCAAGCCAGGAGCAGACCGGGTTATCATCAACGAAAAGTGCGTTCTTGCAGGCCAGATCACACACACGGGAGCCAACGGCAACGCGTTCGTGGGCTGCGAGGGCACCAGCTAGGCGCCTATTGGATGGTTGGCCCAGAGAGGCGACGCTGATAACGGTCTTGGTGTTTACCCCCCACGATCTGCTTTAAGCGTCTGACAGAGCTGCCTTGGTGGTTTGGAAAGCGGTTAGCACGGCTAGGCAGTTGAATTATGGCCACGTCGCCGACAATCTTCTTCTTGATGATTCTGCTCCAGCCTCTCTAATTTGTATCCGTTTCTCGAGAAATTTGGTCTTCCTAGTGTAACAATTCGTCGCATGTCGAAGATGCACTCTCCATCTGCCGGCGGCAAGCGATGCGCGAATTGAAGTGGGATGAATGCAAGATGCAAGATGCCCATCTCGGAATTTAGTCCGTGCCGGTCGGGCGGTGAAGGCCAAGGTGAAGATGAAGGGCCGTCCTAACAATTTCGAGTCAACGCTAGGGCGAGGTAATCTTGGTCAGGACGCAGGCGGTTGCAGCAACGGTGCGTGAGAAGTGACCGCCGGACGGAGAAGATGGTGGTAGTGGTGGTGGTCGGTGGTCAGTGGGCGATCAGCGAGACGAGACGACGGACGAGTACCTACGCTGGACGAGAGTGGTTGGCTGGTGCTGCAAAGCCCGTAGCTACCTGCCCTGCCTGGCAGTTGCCTGCCTCCCTCTGTGCCTGCCACACTGCGACAGGAGGCCAGAGACGAGCAAGGTACATCCGGACGCCTCACGTTTTGGTGTGAGCATCACCAATTCTGGTACCAAAGCATTGTACCTCTCTCTGCCTCCCTCCCGCCCCCCGGTGCATCATCCAGCCCCCGTCCCTTCTCATGTTACCAAACCCACCTGCACCACACGCGTACGGCCACAAGCCTCGACCACTCACTGGACGGCTTACCGGTTTGGGGAAGCAGGTAGCGTCATAACTGCAGCCAGTCTGCCCACCACCAGCTATTGATAGGCAACCCCCCAAGACTTGCAGGTTTCCCATCGAGTTGCCTCCTTCTTTCCCATGGGAGCAACTTGGCATCTTTTTCTTCCTGCCTCATACCAATCTTTCCAGGCAGAGAGGAGGAAAGAAAGGCGAACTTTGTCCTGAAATACGACACCTTGCCGACTGCGAAAATGACACGAGTCTCTGTCTACAGCACCGCCCTCGTGGCTTTTGTCGCCGGTAAGTACCTACCACCATTTCCCTCGACGGGTCCCCCGCGCAGGCAAAACGGGAGGCCGACGGTCGAGGTATCCACCCTTGCATCGTCGTCATCGCCCGTTTCTGAAGCTCGAAGCTGGGCGCGATAGTGGCGCCTGGGGATTGCTTCAAGCACATCAATCGGCAACAACATCATGCATCGTCAGTTCACGATGGCTAACGTTCTGCTCTGCCAGCGACGGCGATGATCGTTACGTCCATTATATTGCCGCACTGGGTTTCTTACTCCGTTACCGCTACCGACGGCAACGAGTTCTCAAAACACATTGGATTGCACAAAATCTGCTCCAACGTCGGGCCTGGACCGGCGTGCAAAGTCTTCCCGACCGACGAATTATGTAGCAAAGATGGCGAGAGATATTTCTGCTCCATGTGGCGCTCCGTTGGCTTCCTCGCCTCTTTCTCGACAATTATGCACCTCGCGTCTTTGGTCACTTTCCTCGTCATCATGAGCGGAGGCAAGTACAAGCGCGAGACGGGCTGGAAGATCCTCGCTGGGCTTCTGATTTTTGTCGCGGCCGTTGAATTTATTTTGATGGGCATTGTGGTAAGTCTAAGGCAGTTGCGTTATAGTACGGGCCAGGGTCACAGAGCTGACGAGCATACTAGGCGTACCTCTTCGACAACGACGAGCAGTTCCGCGTCCCTGGCTGGGGTCTTGACACATCCTGGATTCTCTGCACCGTCAGCGCATCTGTATCTGTTCTCTGCGCTTTGGGATTGGGTATTTCCTCATTTGTTCTCCCACCGGAGGAGGGCTACGAGTTCCTCAACGACCCGCTGCCGTGATTCACGATGGACTTGGATGATGAATGCCCGAAACACGCTAGAAGCTCATTTTTCATTTCTAGCAGGCATAAAGGGAAACGGAGTTTGCATATTATTTTTCGCCAAATGAGGAGTTACTCTTTTCTTGTTTTGGTCAGCGGCTATGATGAGAGCGATGAGTGGCTCGCATCTGGTTCATGCGCTGCCAAATAATCTACATATGAAATATACAAAATCAATCTTTGTTTGGAAGCATCATTCCGCGATGCAGCTAAAGCTCGGGTTTTCAGCTGGACAAGAGTGACGACACTGAGGCGATGGAGATAAGCGCTTGGGGGCAAGTGCGGGGCCGGCCGGTCCCCGCATTCACACCTTCCAAATTGTCAAACATCCAACGGCGCGCCATGGCCTAACTTATATGAGTCCATCTGCTCCCAACAAGCCTCTCCAATCTCATTCGCACGCCTTCGAGCTTCACATCCTCCTGGAGCCCGGCCCAAGGTCTCAAACCGTCTCTCTCTTCCTCACAAACCAGCGGTCCAGAAGCCCGGTTGACTCATCCCAACATGACCGTCCCCGCGCAAGAAGAGGGCCTCACACCCTCCCAGCTCGCCACCTTCAACCGCGACGGCTACCTCATCATCCCAGGCGCCCTTTCCCCGGAAACTGTCCAGGGCCTGCTCGCCGAGACCCACTCGCTCCTCGACAACTTCTCCCTCGCCGACCACCCCATGACACGCTTCTCCACCGGCGAGAAGGCAGACCACGTCGGCGACGACTACTTCCTCACCTCGGGCGACAAGGTGCGCTTCTTCTTCGAGGAGGACGCCTTCGACGACGCCGGCAACCTCGCCAAGCCCAAGGCCCGCGCCATCAACAAGATCGGCCACTACCTGCACGTGCTCTCCCCGCCCTTCGCCGCCGTCTCGGACCCGGCCTCGACCGCCGCTGTCCCGGGGAAGCCGGCCGCCGTCGCGCGCAGCCTCGGCTTCAGGGACCCCCGCTGCCTGCAGAGCATGGTCATCTGCAAGCAGCCCGAGATCGGGGGCGCCGTGCCGCCGCACCAGGACTCGACGTTCCTGTACACGGACCCGCCGTCGGCCGTGGGGTTCTGGTACGCGCTTGAGGACGCGACGCTGGAGAACGGGTGCTTGAGCTTCTTGCCGGGCAGCCACCGCTGGGCGCCCGTGGCGAACCGGTTGGTGAGGAAGGCCGGGGACAAGGGCACGGAGATGGTGGAGAACCAGGGGCCGCGGTTCCCGCCGGGGGATGAGTACGCTGCGCAGAGCGAGGAGGGGAAGGGGGCGTATGTGCCTGGCGAGGTGAAGGCTGGCGACCTGGTGCTCATCCACGGCAACTTGCTGCACAAGAGCGAGAAGAACCTGAGCCAAAAGGGGCGGATTATCTACACGTTTCACGTCATCGAGGGCGAGGGCACGAAGTATGATGAGAAGAACTGGCTGCAGCCGCCTGAGGCTGGGTTCACCAAGTTATATGCCTGAGTCATGGGTATCAGTCTGCCCCAAGAACAAAAAAATATAAAAAGATCCATCTAGTCTGGTTTCCCAACCATGCGAGTGTGAAGACGTCAAAGGTTGTACATGTGCCTGGCTTGCGTCTGCCAGCTTTATCACCTCTTGCCGGCAGACTTCTTCTTCTTCGTAGTAACCTCCTCCTCTTCCGAGCTGTCATCATCGCTGCTGTCGTCGTCTTCCTCCTCGGACGAGGACGACGAGCTGCTGGAGGTCTCCTCGGCATCCCGCTGCGCAGCCTGGCGCTGCACCTCGGACTCGTTGTCAGAGTCATCGTCCGACGAGTCGCTGTCGCTGCTCGAGTCGTCGTCAGAGTCGTCATCAGAAGACTCGTCAGAGCTGCTGTCGACATTGGCCGTGCGCTGCTTACGACGGCGAGAGGCACTCTGCTTCGTGCCGTCGTTGAGCTTCACCCTCTTGTCGACCGTCTCCTCCTGAACAGCAGCGGCGGCAGGCTTTGACGGCGCCTCCTCCGTGTCAATGGTCATGGCATCGCTGTCCTCGCTCTCTGCGAGCTCCTCCAATATCGTCTCGGCGCGCATGCGCTTGATCACACGCTGCGTGATGGCGACGTCGCTCGACTGCGCCACGAAGCCGCTCTCGTCGAAGCGCTTCCTCTTGCCACTACTACCGCCATCCTCGGCGCCAAGCTGCTTCAGCCCGGCCAGGACCTTCTCGTACTCGGACTGCTTCGAGTCCGCGTCCGGCGTGCCGTCGGGGAAGGCGGCCTTGCCCTGGACGGCGTCCTCCTTCCTGACCTCGTCCGCCGTCTCGCGCAGCCGCGTCCGCGTGTAGCCCTTGAGGTCCTGGATGTACTCGTAAAAGGTGTCGATGTCGGCCGAGGGGATGGCCTCGGTGTGGAAGACGCGCTTCATGAGGATGGACTGGTAGTTCTTGTTGAACTTCCAGGTCGCGCGGGCGTGCTTCCAGGCGCGGAGGTACTCGAGGGAGGGCTTGATGTCGGCCTGCGGCTGCTGCGTCGCGGGCTTGGCCGGCTTCTTGCTCTTGTTCTTCTTCTTTGTCGGCTCGGCGACGGCGGTGGGGTTCTTGGTGTCTTCGGTGAAGGTGACGGACTTCTGCTTCCTCAGGGTCGGGGGAGTGGCAGCAGCATGATGATGGTCGTCGGTGCGGGTCCTTTTGAGGGGGGAGCTGAACGCAGGGGGAACGGACGAATGCTCGGGACGTTTCCTTTTGGCGGCGGCGCTGGCGGCGTCCGCCGCGCCGTTGGCGTTCCGGGCGTCGTGGTGTTGCTGGTGACCGTTGGGCTTCGATCCCTCGGCAGCAGGGCCGCCAATCTCTGGGCCGGACTTGAGCTTGAGGCCCAATCGTTTCCAGGCCGGTACTTTTGCGGACATGACGGGCAGCAGCGGGCACACCCTCTTCGTTTTTTTTTCTGCGTCCCGGAAAGGCGAGGGAGGGAGGGGAGAGAGGATCGCTGGATCGGAATTTGGTGTCTGCGGTTGCGCCTGCTGGGTCTGAGGAGGGTACAGAAAATGCAGAATTGGGCCGCTTCAATGCTCTCCACGTGTGCTCGGCCTATTAGATTGGAATGCGATGGCCTCGTGTGCGGCAGTCCGATTGGGCGCGACGTGTGGTGCTCGAGACTGGAGGGTGAAAGTCGGGAATGGTCCCTCGATATTTTTTTTTTCCTTTGGACGCTGCCCTGCCATTTTTTTGGCAGCAGGATGCGTTGTCGTTCCCGCAGTGCCAGGGGTGCCCCGCTGTATCCCTGCACTGCAGCTTTTCAGTGTGCACGTACCAGGTCTCTTACTTATGTAAGCGTTGTGTCGTCTGCTTATTGCCTCAGGCTAGACAGACAGTTGCTTGGACCAATCCAAGGCATCCACTCAGCCTTCCCACTGGAGCTTCCCGGTACGTTGCCTCGCCTGCTCTAGGCAAGCTCCTGCAAACGCGTCGATATCCCAAGAGCTTCGTCAGAGCTCAACCACCAACGTCGAACCGCCATTTCGTCCACCTTCACCCCACCACCGACCTGCCACAGCTCACCACCGTCGAGCACGATCTTACTGAACGCAATTCGACCTACGTTGACCTAGAAACACCGCCAAGATGTCGGGTGCGTACTGGGACGGCCACCGCTACCCCGGTGACCTCAGCCCTTCGGTCGTCAATCACAGCTAACGAGGCTTCTTACCCCAGGTGGCTCAGCTTACGACCGACACATCACAATCTTCTCCGAGCAGGGAAGATTGTACCAAGTCGGTATGTATTCATCCTCCGCCCGCAGCCCGATCGATTGCCCCTCCCTGCGGTGATGCCATCGAGCGGGGCCTCCAACCACGGCCTCGAACCGCCCAGCTGACGAGACGATTGCGCACAGAATATGCCTTCAAGGCCATCACAGCTGCCAACATCATGTCGATAGGTGTTAGGGGCAAGGACTGCGCCGTTGTCCTGTCTCAGAAGAAGGTTCCTGTACGTTGAGACTGTCAGCGGGGATGCAGGTGTCGGACGGGGGACTGACCCAATAAACAGGATAAGCTCATCGACCCCGCCTCCGTCTCCCACATCTTCCAGATCTCCCCATCTGTCGGCTGCGTGATGACCGGTTCTATTGCCGATGCCCGTGCCTTCTCCCAGCGTGCCCAGGGTGAGGCGGCCGAGTTCCGCTACAAGTACGGCTACGAGATGCCCGCCGATGCTCTCGCCAAGAGACTGGCCAACATCAGCCAGGTCTACACACAAAGAGTAAGCACGGCTGAAAAGCAAATGGAAGGAACCTGGAACTGACAAGTGATAAAGGCCTACATGCGCCCGTACGGCGTTGCGACGACACTGATCTCATTGGACTCGGAGTTTGGACCTCAGCTGTTCAAGTGCGATCCTGCCGGATACTACATTGGCTACAAGGGCACCGCCGCCGGGCCCAAGCAGCAGGAGGCCCTCAACCACCTTGAGAAGAAGCTGCGCAACAAGGAACACGCCCCCGGCGACTGGAGGGAGGTTACTGAGCTTGCCATTACGACGCTCAGCACCGTCCTCAGCATGGACTTCAAGAAGGGCGAGATCGAGATCGGTATTGTGGGAGGCCCCCGTGCAGACGGCCAGGAGGGAACCGACCCCGGTTTCCGTACGCTGACCGAGGACGAGATCGATGAGCGGTTACAAGCGATCGCGGAGAAGGACTAAGGTGGAAGAGACGAGACCCGGCTAGTGGAAGCTGGATAGGGTCGGTGCGTCCGATGAAGAAGTCCGCTGGCGACGTCGATTCCGCCAACAGACCAGATCGCGCCTGGCCGCCGCGGGATGTGTAGACGAGAGTCGAGCTGGTAGTCTCACGAAGCCAGACCCCCCGCACACGATTGTACTACTAGCCAGCCTACAATTTGATATAGATCAAGACATGCAAAAGACGTTGCCATGATCAATCCAATGAGATTCAAGCATTGTCCGGCCGAGTAGCCCTATGCGGCCTGGCTGAATGCTGAGGGACGGCAGGTATGAGAAGAAGCACGTCTGTGGCTTGACAGAAGGCAGCGGAGAGATGAGTTGACGGTTGGTGTCTCGGATGCCGAATGTTAGGGAGATTCGAGACAGCAGACACGGGGCTGTTTCCGTGGGTTGAAGGCATTCACATCGGTAGGCATCTTTTGGGAGCCCCCCGGATCACGGGCGCAGAGTTTCGCCGAGTAAGTGAGACGACTGGTGAGACGACTGGTGAGACGGTTTTCCACAGGGCGACGACTGGCATTACGGTCGTGGTATCTTGGAGCAAGAAAAGCAAGCAACGGGCAGCGGGCATGTGGAGTTCAAGCCACCGCGGCCACAAGAAGGCTGAACTGACACGGCTCTCACGGCGAGTCCTGACACGCGAACATTTGAGGGCGGCCTTACTATGAACAGCTAAGGTCCCTTTCCTCGCTGTCGGCCCCCACTGTTGGGGACTAGGGTTTGACCACCGCGGTGTTAGGTTTGTGCATTACACTTCAAACACGAGCCCACGGGTGTGGGAGCGAATGAAGCACGGGAATGGCGTCCAAGACATGAGCTGGATGGGTCAGCCCTTCGAGACGCTCCGTCCAGTCTGCTTCACAGCAATCGAATCCCCACCGGGAGAAATTCTCGAGTCTGCCTTCTGCTAGGACGCAACAGGACAGAGACCATGCAGCCGGCGTCTTGCGTCTACTTATTGCTAGGGAATGGGTGGTCGTCGTTGAGGATTTGGACAGTGCATGGAGAGAAAGTGGTAAGGACAAGGGAGCGAGCGAGCGAGCGAGATAGGCATGGCTCGGTCGGTCCAATGCAGGTGGCAGTTTTTAACGGATGGAGCGGCGGTGCGTTCAGCTGGAATAAAACGTGCCAAACGTGGGCAGACGTCTAGGATAACGGTGCTCATTGGCCACAGGCGCGGTGAAGCCACAGCACCTGCAGCCCGAGGGCCTGCCAGAGCCTGGAAGAGCCTGCCAGAGCCCTGTCACTGTCTCCAGCCCGTTTCCCGATCCGGCCGCCAAGAGTGGTGTGGAGTCAGCTGAAGATCCACCGACCTTACCTTATTCTTCATCCCTGCTGCCAGCCCTGGGGAAAACGACGTGGACATTTCACATTGCGAGACCACCGACCTACGAAGAATACCGTGGGACCGTCACCGCGGGCTCGCACTCTGGCCTGGGCGGACTGCCTGCTTGGGCCAGACCGACCTCAGACCGACCGGCCAGCCGAACTTTGCCTATCAGAGACTTCTTCTTCTCCTTCTGCTGTCTGCGTCATCCCATCTTTTCTCCCCCGGTCCCTGGTCCAATGTCCACACCCAGGACCATACCTATCACGGCTAGCAGGGCAAAATACCTTACAGTAGTCCACCTTTGGGTCGGTCTTCTGTGTCTCTGAGATGGTTCACAGTTCTGCTCTATACCCACCATCGCGAACGAGCGTTGCCTTACCACACGCACTCGACTACTCAACGAACGACGCACAACCCACACCCTCGTTCTCGGGCTTGGTCTCACATCCCGCGCAGCCTCAAGGGCATCTGTCGAGCGACTGAGGTCCAATCCGGGCCTTCTCAACCCCTTGGCTTGATGTGGCCCTGACCCCTACAGCACATCAATCAATATGACAGCCCTGCAGGCGACAGCCGGCAGCCCCCCCAGCAGCCCAGACCATCGAAGCCCTGCAGGCATCGAGCACGCGAGTTGCATCATCATCGCCAGGCCTCCCGAAGAGAAGAACCGTCAACCCCAGTCAACCACATAATTAGCATCCCACAGCAAAATGTGTGTCTCTCCTACCTACGACACCCACCACCACCACCACCCACCTACCTCCTCGCGCCGGGAACCAGGGGCGGCCGCGCGCGCCACCAGCTCGGCTGGGGTCAGTCTAGCTTTGAGCTCGCAACGCCATCCCAACTGCCAGGTCCCCGTCGCCGCCCTTCTTTTTTCTCCGATTCGTCGGCCGGGACTATCAGCGAACCGGGGGCCAAGGTGTCTTCAGACGAAGGACATGAACCACCATTGGTCAAGCATGTCGAATGAGCTCATGCATGCCCTATGGGGCTCCTCCGCCGTTCGGGACTTTCACTCCCCCCAAAGGCAGAGAAGGCTACTGCTGCTGCTGCCGTTGCGGGCTGCCAGCTATCATACCCTACCCTACCCTATTCCCTGGTAGGCCGGGCAAAAGCTTGAGATTGCGGTTTCGTGACGGAGCATGCCTGCCTTGGGTCTCGTTGACTCTCATCTTCCAATCTGCAATTTTCGTGATTCATTCTTCCTCTTCCTTCCCTTCGTCTCTTGTTTGTCTTTCGTGGGAGGCCGTCGAGAATGTACAAAAGCCGAGCGGCGTGGCGTTTGATCACTCTTCAATGACACGGCATCAAACAGCAACTTCATCTACAACAGTCTCTCGTTCACCTCACCGGCGCCTTTCTCTTACGACCCTTCTCTTATACCGGGTCACTTTGACTCTTCTCAGACTACTTTTAATCACTAAACTCTACAATTGCTTGCGCAATTCGCTGCTATGGACGGGTGTAAGTTCATCATGAAAAACGTTTGGAGGCCCGCCTCCTTGCGCCGGACGATTCCATGGCTGTATCTCTGACCTGCTCCTAGTCAACGAATACCGGACCATACGAGTCGCCGAGGTCCTCTCCGACTTTCGGACTCTCCAATACTACATCGCTGCGGCGCCTACAGATCCTCCCAATATGGAGGACTATTACACCGAGGGGTGGGCAGCTTTGCGCCAGTGCTCCCTCGACGGGCAGCACGTCCTCAACTGCGCCGCCGACACCAGTGTTCCGCAGGCAAGCGGCGGGCCGCTTGAGCAGGAGAAAGCGGAGTTGAAGCAGTCAGTCGCTATTGCCCATCGATCGCGACATGCGCGCATCAAGTACTGACCCTGGGACTCTACAGATGCCTCCTCGACTCGTTCGCCAGACGGCACGAATGTCAAAAGATCTACCTCCGCCAGGCTGCTGCGCAGCGGTGGGTGAACAACCGGGACGGCATCCTCCAAGGCGGCAGACCGACCAACAGGAACCAATCACACCTTAGGGCATGCGACCAGCAGCTGAGAGTTGTACGTGATGTTGTTTGCTTTCCACCACTGTTTCTGGGGAGATTGATATCATGGAGGACGGTTATTGCCAGTCCCCAGGTCGGAATGCCAGACTAACACGGCAGGGTTCATACAGGAACTCTCTGCGATTACCGATGAAACCATATACAACGAGCTGCAGATGTCAGACCGCGCGATGGGCCGCTGGACGGCTGAGGACCCTAGCCTTCGGAGCGTGCAGCGCTGGCTTCGCGCGCGACGACCGTAAGGCATGCGTATCGCGGATGTCAACTAAACCCCACGTGTTGTTGCGAAAATGACGAAGATGGATGTTTGATGAGGTCATGAGACGCCTTCCTCTCTAGCTGGCATCCGGGGGTTTCTAATTTTGTATAAACGGCGCATGGAGGATACCAAACATAATACACGGGAAGAGCGATAATGGGTTTCCTTGGGCCTATCTCAAAAGAATTTCATCTCTTTTTCCATTTCATTAAGATGTCACTAGACATTCTCTTCAAGACAAGGCGACTGGTATTGCGCTTGCGGCACGAAAGGGGTCTAGGGCGGTACCGCGGAACCCCAGAGACATTGCGGGCGAGACACGTGCAGGAGAAGAATTGGCAGAATATTTAGAAGAGAATCAATTTCAGACAAACGCATTTTGCCAGGCGCAAAAAAGACAATCAAGACATTTAGAGGATGTTTCGCTCCCCGTTTCGGGTTCCAAATCTTCAGTATCAAACATTCATTTTTGGATCTATACAAGCTCGGCATTGTTTGGCATGGTGCGCGGCCCCCAAAATCCACCAGAGACCTGCCCGACATTCCGCAGCGCAGATGCCCGAGACACGAGGCACGCGGCAACGATCCTCAAGGAGAGACACGTGCGTACGTGCATCTGGGGTGCCGGGGTCCCGCAGGTGCGGGCCATCCTCTGTTTCTCACACCCTCTGGAGTCTGAAGACTAACAGCACGACGCTTGACCAGACCAGGACCAGCGCACCAAGCGAACACGATATCTGGGGATGGTGAAATCTGTCACTATCTCTACCTGGTCTTGCTGTGGACACATAAAGCTATCCCGGATAGGGAGAGGACCATTCCTAGCATTGTGTCTGTGGTGCGGATAAAAAAGACTTGTTTCAGCATTGTGCGCAACCAATCCACACGCGCTGGAGACGAACTGCCTTTTGGGTGTGGGTAGGAAGGAACGAAGAACGACTTACCTCGACTGATGACTTTCTTCTCAACCCACCACTCGCCAATCACGGTGAAGAGGAAGGCTAGGGTGTTGACGATGGGAACGGTCAAGCTCAATTCTATTTCCCCCCTTCCACATTAGCAACTCACACTCTCTTTCGGCATCACCCACGCCGGAGAAGGAGAGACAACACTCACCAGCCTGTCCGATGAGCAGGAAGAACCACACGCTGCCGGTGAGGTTGATCAGCAGCGGGGCAGCGTAGCGCGGGTTTCGTAGCAGGTCGAGGACGCCGAAGAAGGCGCCGTAGAGGCGGCTGCGGAGCCAGCTGGCTTTCACGGCGTCGCTCTCGAGGATCGGGTGCGGCGCCGGGTGGTGGTCTTTGGCGGCGCGGCGGATGAAGGGGGTGGTGAAGCCCCACGCGAGGCCGACGAGGAGGAATCCCGCGACGTAGTTGATGGCCGCGGGCTGTTGTTGGTCGGGGTCTGGTGATGTCATGTTTTTTGCGTTTTGCTTCTTCGTTCTTTCAGGGGTTGGGTGCTGGGGAGGTTCAGCTTAGCCAGCCAGCCCAGTAGAGTCCAGCCTTATGACCGGGGGTTTGGGGGAAGTGGTAGGGTTGCACGAGCTGAAGGGCTGGGGGGTGAGGCTGCCTCGGGAAGGGTTTGTGAGAATTGATGAGTGAGTTTCCCTTTCAAGTCCGAGGTCCCGGGTGGATGGTGTTCGTGATGGAGTGAAGTCGGAAGCGCGGATGAGATGGTGTGGAGGCTTTGCGCGCGACGGGGGCCCGGTGGAGGCGGAGGGCAGGGTCCCCGCCGTGCGGTACAGTTCGACCGCCCCACTGGCCGCGTGGCTGTGTTGAGGCTTGCGGTCCCTGACAGGCGCAGCGGGGGGTCTGATTGGCTGTGAGATGCGCTCCGCGGCGGACGCAGCCGAGCGGCTGGGCTCTTTTTTTCACCGGCGGTGATGCTGTCATCTCTAGCGCGGGGGCAGGTTATCAGACTATTGAACGTTTTATTTTTTTTCTGGCCCTATCGCGGATCACCTGAAGCTTGCATTTGGTTTCTTTCCGAAATGGGGTGAAGAGGCCTCTCGCTATCAATCTTTTCAATGATAGCCGCATACTACTCATCAAACAACTTTTGCCGGCTTGTGTGACGGTCACCGGCGGGTTGATGTCGAGTGCATTAGCGAGACGACAAGCGTCAGTTTGAAGCACGAGCTGGATGCGCGCACGTGTTGGCTTGCATGATAAGTTATCGCAAATCGACCAGTAGCAGGACGGCATGGCAAGAAACGAAACAGGCGCCGCTTGCGAGTGACGGCGTCTCGCGGCTGAAGGGGCCTGTGAGAGTTGAGGTCCGACTCTATGGCTAGTGTCTATCGCGGTATCACCAAACGCCGGTGGGAGTCGCCAAGCGGGGACATGACATATGCATCATCACGGCGGATTTTTTTATTGCTTTTTCGGTCTGGACTCTCGCTCTTCTTGGCGCGAGTTCACACCATACCATATGTTCTCTTGTGGGCCGGGTGCTTGGCAACCGGGCCTTGGGTTTTGCGGCTGCGGCTGGTGTCGTCTCATCTCAGATAATTTGGCGGCTTCCTATGACTGACCGACGCGCAACAGATCGTACGAGATTGACTAGCTGCATCATGACATAGGCAAACGGCTACCTACGATTAGGTCCTCCGACCCGGACGGTGAGGTTACGGCATCGTTCGGCAGTTGATGTGAAGCTCGTATCGACCCTCGATACATGTTGCTACGCACACGGGCAACAGAATGATTGGTGCTGAAGCGACCCGAGCCCATGGCGTCCGTCAACCAGGCTGGCTGTCCGAAGACGCTAGTGCATGTCTATGCCGCGTCGATGGCCAATTGGGTGGAGATGAGAAAGGACCGGGCAGAAGATCTAAGAAGTATTGGTCGGCAGGAGGATGGGAAAGATTGTCGGTTGTCATGATGGCCAGAGAGGGGATGGGCTTCTCAATATCTACCCTTTCCCGCCCTTCCCCATCCCGCATCTCAGTCTCCCCTGATGATCCTTTCCCAAAGCAACTTTCACATTCTCCCTATTCCCAGAGCGTGCCTCAGACAGCCGCAACAAGTGTCTGTGCCCCGTTACCCCAGACGCTGGCCTGTCGTTGACATCATGACTTCCTTTGAGGTCTACGATGAATCATCAGTCGCTGCGAGCTAGTGGGGCCGCCAAACCCACGACCGGCATGAGCCGCATCGACGACATGTCCGTCTCCCGGGCCGCCCGCCGTCACAGCAGCACAACATGGGATTGTTGCGAAACTCAATGCACCGCGCGTAAGCATGTTGCATCTGCGTAGTGCCCCGGCACCATCTCTGTCCTTGTTCGTCGCCGTCCATCTCCTCCTTGTGCCATTCTACCCCGCAATACCAATCATGTCATTCCCGTATGATTTGGGCATGGCGGCTGTCCCAGGCATCGCCCGTGCGTCACACTCTCTTTCAGATTCCCATCTGAGATTTCGATCTGAGATTGGATTTAGCCATGTCGCGGGCCGCGGGGCTGATGGCGTTTGATGATTGATGGTTTGTGCTTGCAGGTCAGCTGGCTGGTGCAGGGGCAAGTCGTCCCATGTTGCTGGACTTCTCTACACATCGCATCGTGAATAAGTTTTGTCGGTATTGTGTTTGCCATTGAGGGCAGTGGCATAAATTGGGCATTGCACAATTCCTCGACCAAATAAGTGGTTTAGACCTCTGGAGTTGCTCAATTAGCATTTGCACCGTTGTGGTCTCCCACGGCTTCAGAGCCTACCAAGCTAGTCCTCCGCCCAGGAGCTTTTGCTCCAGGCACGCTACGCGGAGCATGAACTTTTCCTTTCTTATTCCGCAGATCACAGCCAACAATGACGGCGACAAATCGACGCAATCGCATGCCTTTTCAAAACACAGACAGCAACATCCGCCAGCGTCCGCCCAGACGCCTCGCGCCCCGTCCATCCCCAAAGCTAAGGCTTCTAGGCCCCCCTCCCGGAAACAGCATCTGGCATGTCGGCTCGATCCAATGCATCAGTAGCACCGCATCGCGTTTCCAGTCCGCACAAGCCTCCCCTTTCCCATCGGACCACAGATAGCTAATTGGTCCCGGAGCCTTGTCTCCTGCCCCTCCTCGTCGTCCTTCGCCGACCTCATCGGTCGATCGATCGGGATATGCCACGGACGGTTGGCGCGAGTCCGAAGTCCCCCGTCACCCCCTGACCAGCCTAGCGCGCGTGTGCACTCCCGTTACCGTGACAGGAACCGCATCCTAAGAGATCGTAGGGCTGGCGAAGCGTTGTCCCTAACTGAGACCTCCCACCACCTTAACCATCAAGCACGCCGACAGCTCGGGTCGCCGTAGCTTTCTCAAAAAGCTTTCGCCTAGCCGTACCTGAACCCCACATTTCGTTCGTTCCCCTGCGCCGGTCCTTGCCCCTTGCGGAGAGCTGCCTGCCAGGCACGCTTGCGCCGTCACCAACGCTTTGAGTCTCCCATATGGCGTCCCCGTGTAGCTTTTGCAGGAATAAGAAACGATTCATGAGCCATTGGAAGTAGGAAGACCGGCGAAGTACGCACCGACTTTTCCCATCATCTCGATCTGGAAAACGAAAAGCTCGGGGCGTTGGCTGTACCTGCGTGACACGTCATGACTTCACAAAGGGCATCCTGGAAGACAGCCGATCATCGAGAAAGATGCCAAAGAGAGGCGGTATCATGAATTCTTGGCAGGTTTTCGTTCCCCCGCTCGGGCGTTGGCCCGGTAGCTGCGGCTGGATGCCGGCCGGTCCACGCTCTCCAGCCCGTTTGTGACGAGCATCTCATGCGAGAGACGCAGGTTAGACGCGGCGTTGAGAGTCAATGATGCCATCATTACATCGAATTCCTCCTCCCCCAGCCCTTTCCCCATGTGCTGCTACTAGCTGTGATGTAAGCTTGCCGAGGGGTTGGTGGCTTTGGCTCTGACACAGCTGAGCTGAGCTTTGTCTTTCCAGAAGCACATCACCCAAGCTCCGTATGTCAACACGTTAGGATAGCCGTCAGCGAAGTTGTATAAGAAGGGATCATTCCTGCAACCCCATCTACTTTTTCTTCTCATCATCACACAACAAACAACTTCAGCATTCACAACCATCAAGCTTCACAGCCCAACAAACACTTTTCAAACTTTCAATCAACCCCACCAAACCACCAACATGCCTACCGAAGCTCAGATCGCCGGCGGCCACAAGGCCAACATCAACAACCCCAACACCTCCGAGGAGAGCAAGAAGAACTCCAAGGCCGTCCTCGAGAACGAGTTCAACGGTGGTGACGTCCCCAAGTCTGGCGACAACGAGGACAAGAACCCTGGCAACGTTGCCGGTGGTCTCAAGGCGTGAGTCCTCTCAAGTCGCTCACAGGTCAATAGTGGTCGCTGACTATTCCTTTTAGTACCCTCAAGAACCCCAACGTCTCCGACGAGGCTAAGCAGTCCGCCAAGGAGCGCCTTGACAACATGTAAAGCGACTGATTTGAATGATTTTTTACTCCAATAGCTGGAGCAGGGGCAGGAGTTATACGGACGAGTTATGTCACTGTATCTTAGCCACTATTCACTGCTTGGCGCATGCAAGCATTCAATGAGAACACTGTAAAACTCACATTCCAATCAGATACGATGATGACTATTGTGAATTCGCGGTAATTTAGACACTTTTTCATAGTCAGTAGGCTGATTTTGACATGACGTGTTGTTCGTTACATGTAGCACTGCTTCAGGTTTTGTGACATGATTTTGCTCATCTGCCGACCTATGTCCATGGCTATCCGGCTTTAGATTTAAGCAATCGAGCTACAGTGTCATTTCCACCGAACTGTCATATTGTAAAAGCTTCGGGTGAAGTACAGCTCGTTTTGTTTTCTTAACCTTCGAGACGGTTAACTTACTTATTCAACGACAAGTCGTCACGGAGAAGCGTGTCCAAGGTCATGTCCTATGTGCTGTAGTTCTTCATCTTTGTACCTGAGGTGACGTATCAACCCGTACCGCATTTGCTGTTTGAGCCAAACAGTTTTCGAGGCCACTGCACGTTAAACAACATACAAAAAATGGTCTTCTCTAAGCCCTATGTACATGTAGCATGCCCATGAAACCTAATTGTCGACTGTACCAAACGACCGAACAGTGTCCACCACGCATTCCTCGAAGGTCCTGTACTTGATTCCGAGAACATCGATGCTTCTTTGGTTGTTCACCTTGTAAACCTTGTCCGGCAGTTCTGCGTCTCTGTTCTTAGTCCTTGAAGTCCTTTAACGTTCGGTTAAAATAAGAGAAACTAACCTCCACCCTTAGTGCACTTCGAAGGGAGTGCTGACTTGTACTCGGGGAAGTTCTTGCGGATGATGTCGATGATCTGGCGGTTGGAGCAGTAGCCCCCGGTGATGAAGAAGCGCTGGTTTCCTGCCTCTTCCTTCTCCATGGCCATGACGTGAGCGAAAGCTACGTCGCGAACGTCCGCGAAAATGGGGTTCTGCGTGCCAAGTCGTTCTGGTGAGTTTCATATTCGTGAACGCCGACCGCTTTTGGTCTCGGATGGCTTGACGAGGAGCAAGTTTACTTACCGTTGTAGGGGGAATTTCCTTCTTCGCGGCACCAAGAATGAAGCTCCTGATGAACTGATTCGAGGTGTTGAGCGCGTCAAGCGAAGCCAGCTCCTGCACGGCCGGGCCAAACACGAGCGGAGGGTTGATGGTTGATAGGGTGAAGCCTGGAGACTCGTTCTCTACAAAACTCCAAGCGGCCTTCTCAGCGAAGGTCTTGCTTGCTGTTGCGGCACAAGAACAACGTTAGTCGAGCTTGGAAAAGCGTTGGTTGCTAAAGTTGGACTGATCCCGTACCAGAGTAACCGAACCCCGGGTTCTCTAAGGCTTGATCGAGCGTTATTGGGTTCCAGTCCTTCTCGTCGTAGTTGTGGTCGGGCCACAGGCCCTTGGAGATATCCATCATAGAACCAAAAGACGATGTGATCACAACTCGCTTCACGGATGGAGCGCCGTTCTTGATCGCACGTAATATGCCCGTCGTCCCGTTGATCGCTGGGTCGAGCAGGTCGGCTTGGATGTCCGTCACATTGAACGTGAATGGGCTGGCGGTGTGAATTACGGCCTCAAAAGGAGCATCGGACTTGACAGCTTCGTCAAAGGCATCAGGTTGAGCCACATCTGGAACGATGGTAAAGTCTAGCTTTTCGGGACCGAAGCCGGGATTCGACGCCCTGATGGTGTCGGCTTTGGCTTGGTTACGGACAGTAGTGACCACTGAATGTCTAGAGAGATATCTTGTGAGCTTGGTGGCATTGGAGACCGCGATGGGCAATTGTTACTTACCCTCTCTCTAGGAGCAGCCGAAGGATGTGTGTGGCGATGAAGCCACTACCACCAGTCAGCAGGACTCTGGTCATCTTGGTTGCGGTGAAAGACTTGATGAATTGAACTAATAGTTGAAGGATAGAGAGTGCTTGTTCATTTTCACGGTCTACGAGGGCCAACGACGAGGTATTTAAAACTTGTAGATTTTGTAGGGCCATCACCAAGCCTGCTACCGAAGTGTGGATTTAAGCTTAACTTAGCTCCGAATCTCCTCATCGTGCTGACGAGACATCACGACACATATGAAAATGTGGGCTACGTTGGAAGAGTTTCGAACGGAGCGAAGCGTCTTAAGACCGATATCGATACCCAATATCTAGCCACTGGGACGCGGTTGTAACCCCGTATCTGGTCACCGAGATACGCGTATTTGGCCGTACCCACTTTTCACAGGGGGAAGGGAAGCATCGTCAGATGATAAAGAAAGATGCCACTTCTATAATGTTATTTCTGAAAGGTAGTATCGACGGGTATTGAAGTGCATCGCTATATATCCCATTGCATAGGCATGCCATAATTCATCATAGGGATGACTATCCCTCAAAATAGCTTCAGTCCGGCTGTAAGCAAGCGCACTTTCCGCAATCGTTGATTCTAGTACTTCAAGAGGACTACGACCGGAACAGAGTGCGCTCTTGTGTATGTAATTCCTGACCTCTCCGGCCTTCTCTTCCTTATAGAATCTGTTTGATATCGGTCAGTACCTGCCGCAATGCTTGATAGTGATTTCACTTACGACAAAATGTCGTTTGTTAAGTTGATGAACTTCCCCATCTCTGGCGCCGCCGGCATGAAGCGCGATATGTCAGGACACATGTCTCTGTAGAAGCAGAAGTACGTGTAAACTTCAGGCAGACCCTCTTTGTCCCGGAAATAGTACGGCCAGCTGGGAGCCTCCATCGACGGGACAATGGCCTGGTAGTCTCGGCGAATCTCGATGGCGTTGGAGTTGACAAAAGCCAGCGCGGAGAGTACGATCAGATTAGCGACAACGGGATCATAGTAGTCGGTCGTGGACCTCAGGACGTCGGCAAAGCACTCTAGGACGCTGCAGGGTTGTAGATCCCCCCGTGAGAATCGTGACTGAAAGTTTGCCAAGTTTGGGCCCAGCTCGGCGTTGAGGTCATCAATGATGAACCCAAGCCAGGTGAAAAGGCCAATGTGAACCTGGATATCGAAAGGATGAAGGGGGTACATCTCCTGCGCAGAACATTAGCTTGAAGAGGTTCCTCAGTTGTATAAATGCAACTTGGAAATCAACATACCGCAGCTACAGCCAAGCCGGCCTCGAACCTCATTCTCGAGCCATCATCCGGATTGACATGCACGCCCGCCTCGCGACCTCTTGAGAGAATGGCCTCTCGGAGGGCGTCTTTACTCGGCTTCGTAGGTTGGGTATAATTGATGCACTTGAGAAATGTCGGGATGAGACATGATAGACGGTGCCGGAGGCCCTCCATGGCGGGCGTGACTGTCAATGATTCAGTCATGTCAACGTCTTTCACTTCAACAGTGCATGTCAACTCTCACCAACAGGAACTCGAGCGGAAAACGCTGTCTTTAATCTCCATAGATCTCCACAACGAAGACCAGTCCGTGTAGCTAGCCACGAAGGCCGTACTGTGAGACTGAGCTGAGATGCTATTCCGAGCTGTCCGCAAGGTGTCGAAACAAACGCGGCCCGCGGACGTAACATGAGGGCGCAATTAAGTAGAGTTTCCGCGTCACCGTTCAAGAACTAGGCGGTGAGTGAACGAGTCATGAAAAGATTGAGCATGGGAATTCGGTGTCGTTTTTGGCCAGTTTCCATAAGTTGCATCTCGTGACACCGCAACACCCCTAAGCTGTACTTTTGAGAACATGGGAAGCTTCAACTGTTGCTTTTGATGTTGCGGAAGTCTGATCTTACATACTTTGTACTGGAGTACCCGAAGGATCGTGTGTTCAATCTTTTCCTCCAATCAATGAACCGTATCAACTTTCTCACCTCAGAATCCGCTCACCCCTTGTATACAAGGCTTTGATAGGCCAGCTTTGGGAAGTAGTTCTGTTAGTGACAGTTCGACCAATCCATCCCCGGTGGATAGGGGGGAGCGGATTCTGACCTCGATAAATTGATACGATATACCGTTTTGAGTTTCTGAACACCGCATTACAGGAGTCCGAGGCACGTCGTCCCAATGCCACGGATGAATAATACCCGACCAAAGTCTCCAGGGAGCTACGTATGATTCAGTTCTAACAGCTGCATATATGGAGTAGTCTAGGGTGTGTCGGCACTTGAAGCCGCGGTGGAGAACACTAAACTCTAAATATATGAACACAAGATACGTCGAAGATACGAATTGTTGGACCCTTGATTTGGCGGAACATCCAGAGGGTAGCTTACAAGCGGTGGCAGGGTTCCAGTTGAAAGCGATGGGCGATTTTCGATATATTAAGCAACCTTTGACGATGAAGCCACTGCATCTCAGACCAGTCCGTCACGCTTCAGTCCTTCTGTCCAAATTGTCAATCTCTTTCAAAGCAGACCCTGTCACGCATACCATACTCCTTTCTCTTTCAGGACAAACAAACCCGTCAACATGTCGACCACAACTATCACTGCTACTCAGCAGATGGACCGCAGCAGATTCAACTTTCAGCATCGATGGTTCGACAGGACGATCGAGCACTGGGAACAGCGCACCAGCTCTCTCCGTGGGAAAAAGCTGAGAGTTTTGGAAGTTGGCTCCTTCGAGGGCGGTTCCGCTACGTGGATCCTCGACAACCTCATGGATCACCCGGAGTCGACATTTACCGCCGTCGATACCTTCGGTGGAAGCATGGAGTTCCAGAATGACACATACAAAGAATTTGACGCTTACGACATCCCCTCGTTGGAGAAGCGCTTCCGGTCCAACGTTGCTAAATGCCGTCATGTCGACAAGCTTACCGTCATCAAGCGGTCTAGCCTTGACGCCCTCCCAACACTCAAGCACCAAGGTGCTCGTTTTGACTTCATCTACATCGACGGATCTCACGTCGCCCTTGATGTCTTACACGACGCCGTCCTCGCCTGGGGCATGCTCGAGGTTGGAGGCACCATTGTGTTCGACGACTATACCTTGAACAGGTACAACGAGGAGAGCTACAACCCGCCTGCTGCAGTCGATTCTCTCATTCGATGCGCAGCCTTCGAAGCGCAGGCCACTCAAGCAGGGTCGCAGATGTGGGTCAACAAGGTGCCCCAGCTATTCCCGCCCACGCTTAACCCCGAGAGGGAGTTGATTGTCGAGGACGACTGAGCGTCAGCTGAAGAGAGTTTCGGATAGAATTGTGGTAGAGCATAGACAACCATTTGCTTCAATATCATAAATGTAACTGTCGCGATGGAAGGGAAGACGGTCCCTCGTTGGTGGGGCTCAGGTCATAGAAGCCAATCAAAATGAAAGGACGCATTCGCATCATGCTGCGTAGAGCTGAATAGAAAAGATTACCTCACAATCCAAGTACCTACGATCATCTCCGTCGAGTCTTAGGCCCTCCTCCTTTACAACCATTAATGAACAAACCACCCGCTTCCAGGGGACAAACCCCGGAATTCAACATGTGATACCTTCCAGCAGCGTGGACCCTTGACGAGTCCGTGTTGCGTGCTCCAGATGTTTCCTCTTGTGTGTGGTCGGGACTTCGTACCTCAAAGACCTGAATCGAGTACCGGCCGGCAAGGCTTTTCTGGATTGATTCACTTGAGAGGGACATGAACAACTTCGCAAGTTTGGCTCAAATGACTCTTGCAAGGACCCACAAATATGGATAATTGAAAACTAAAACTTCAAGTGGATAGTATCGTGTACATGGGTGATGACTCCCGACAATTCACTCAAGACCGAGTGCGTTGTGAATGAGGAGCCCCTGGTTCTCCTCAGCCGACAACCATTGAGCCATTGCCTCTATCTCCCCGGCGAAAGAGGCCATACCGTCTCCAGAACTCCACTCGAGCCCGGCCCCCCTGAGATGCAAGAACACGGTGGTCACAGCACTCTCGTCTGCTGCTCCACAGCCACGACTACTGGAGCCTGCAGAGACCACGAGTCCGACTCGTGGGTTTTGCACCGACTTCAACATGTCCATATTTTCGAAGTGGGAGAGCCTAGCATCCTCCGTGGAAGACCGTGACTGGGGTACGCTCTCACCGAGTCCAGGGGCCCAGTTGAACATAAGTGAGCCATGAATCAGAGGCAGAAGCGGCCAGGGCCTGTTCTCGGCGTTAGGGTCTTCGAGCTTGTCCATGATAGCCCGCCAAGGTGCGGACGCGTGTCTGGTTTGAAGCTCCTGCTCTCGCTGCATTCTACGCAGGAATTCGGAAACTGTCTCCCGCTCGCTGCCACATCTCGGCATCTCCACCACGTTGCATACTATTTGCACTGTAGGGCCTGCCACGTCGCCGGCCTCCCACTGCAGAGACCTATCGTGCTCCTCTCCGCGGCGTGGCATGTCGGTGTCCGTGACGGACTGCGGCAGAAAGGGGTTGTAGTGTAATCTCGCGGCTTCGACGCTAGAGAATACAGCCACCCTCGATTTGCGCCCCGTTGCGGCTTCCGTCGTCGTGTAGCCACTCCGACTCGCGCTTGCTAAGGCCAATGCGGCTTTCACAATGGTGGATGTAGATACTGTCGTGGAGTCCGTGGGGTCTGCTTTCAGGGCTGGCATTGAGAAGCTGTGCTGCAGTTGATGACTTTCTCGATAATGATCATCTAGTGAGACTTGCATCCAGAAGGTCGGACTTGGCCACAATGCCCCAGCATCGACATGTTTTGGCAGAGAGGCAAGACGATCGACATGCCAATTTACAGCCGCCATAGCCCGCGGAGAGGTGCGCAAAGCGTGACATAAGTCCAAATAGGGCTTGTAGTCCTTGTACTCTCGTAGCTGTGCTTGGATACTGGCGGCAGTCAAACCGCCTGAAGCAGCCATAGCGACGGCTCGGTCGAGGTCGTCGTGGAATAACTGTCCTGCAGAATGATCACTGATAGAGTGGTTTGCGGATGTCACCATCGCCGCAGTGCCGGTCTCTTCTACGTCAAAGAGCATGACTCGATAAAGCGGCCCGGGGAACGTGTTCTGTTGCGGTGCTGGAAATCGATGAGCCTCAGCAGTATTGCCGAGTGCGATCTCCTCAAGATCTCTCAAGCAGCGTACGGCACCGCCGTCTTGTATGGCCAAGTCGAAATACTTGGCCGACGGGCGCATGATGACGTGGAACGCTTCCTTTGTCTTGGGATTGACACAGCGCCAGTCTGCATCCCAGACCATGAACGAGCACATGATGGGTTGATTGAGCAACGCCGCTTCTACGGCCGTGCGAAGTTGCTAAGCAGAAAAACGTTCTATTAGTGTCTTGAGATGTAGATATGAGAAGTTAATAGTGATAAAATACCTTTTTAGTTGTCTTCTGCTTGGTACTGATAGCCATGTTGAAATTGATGGTATCATAGAAACCGCACTGAGCCTGCACAGCATTCGAGTCATACGCAGGGCAGATGTTCTCAACATCTTCCCACGCGAAGCCGCATGGCGAGATGGATTCCAGAACCCGATCTTTGATAAAGTTCAAGAGTACCGGTTCGGGGGCGATGTCCTCCAATTCTTCTGCTGAAAGAGGTCTTCGTGTTGCAATTCTGTCGTTGGAAGCTGCCATCCGTCTTTGCTGCTTGGCGAGATGCGCCACATTTGTGTCCGTGATCGTTGACGTTGTCTTATGATCGGCTGACAGGCTGCGCAGAAGTTCAATCTGCTCCGCAACAGTCGATGCTTGAGCCATGGCTGCTAATGGAAGCGCTATACCTGTTTGCTTTCTGATTTTGTCGCGGACGCGCATCATGGTGATGCTGTCTATGTGCTGCCCAAGAGACATGTTTACGTCCAGCTGAGATGTGTTAACCAGCCCGAGAGCCGTCGTCCAAATCGCTTTGACCTGCTCTTCGTCATGCTGTTCGAGCCCGGACAATGTGCTGGCTGCCCCAGAAGTAGCCTGCGTGTCAAGATGGGCCGCTACAGCCTGCTTCAGCTTGAACTTCTGGATCTTACCCGACGTCGTTCTGGGAAAGTCTGCTAGATCGAGATCCTTGAGATTGATGACCAGATCCGGGACATGCATCGTGGTCATATTCTGGAGCACGGTTTCTCGGACTACCTTTTCGACCGCAGTAGCTTGTTGATCACCTTTGATCACCACAGCGGGAACCTCTCCGGCGATGGTGTCCCTGATGCCGACACTAGAGAGCGCCTCGCGTCAGCACTTTCTGGGACAACTAAGTAGGACTAAAGCAGAGATGTGCAAATGTCAACAACTTACACTTGTGGATTGAGAAGGCGGAGTACAGGGTTCTTCATCAGAACGGCCTCAATGGCGGCGGAGGAAATGTTTTCACCGCCGCGAATAATCCTGCGAAGCAACTGTTAGTCAGAACAAGACATCTGCAGCGTCTAAAGTCAATAAAGCAGCACATACATATCTTTGTAACGTCCGGTGATGAAGAGATCTCCGTTCTCGTCCATTCTTCCCATGTCTCCGGTCCGAAACCACACTTTGCCTGCCTCCTTCTCAGTGTAAAATGCCTTCTGTTCTTCATGCTGAATGTATCCCCATCCTCCTTCACGGTATATCATAGGACCATATCCATGGATCTCTCCTGTGACGTTTCGTGGAACGACACGGCCCGTGGCAGGATCTACGATCTTGATACCGTGGCCCATCGGCGGCTTTCCCACAGACATCTCTTCCGAACCGGACAAAGAGCTATCGGGACCTGCGTCAGGAACACTCACACTGCCGGTGCTGGTGAGCGCGCCTTCGGTGCAACCATAAGCATTTTCGACAACTTTAGCCCCGAGAACTTTGGTTGTTGCGAGCACCTCCTGCCTGGTCAATATCGTTCCGCCAAAGGTGACGCTGATGAGTGATCCAAGTGGAGGCTGGTCCTTTTCCATGGCTGCAACCAAAGCGTGGATCAGAGTCGGAACCAACAACGTGTGCGTGATCTGTTCTTGGCGAAAGGTAGATAGCAATGCTTCCGGAGTCGAGAATGCCGGGCCGGGGAAGACTAGGGCCGCACCGCGGCCGTGTGCTGTTTGAATACAGGTCCAGCCGTTTCCATGGTTATTCGGGAGAATACTGCATACTCTTGAGCCAAGTTGTGGGAGAACTTGAGACGGTGAAAGTAGGAGTCGGCTGTTCGTGTAAGTGTTCAACACCGTATGGTGGCAGAATAAGCCCTTGGGCCTGCTTGTTGAACCACTAGTGCTACTCAAAAGATCAGCACCGCCAAGTTCCTGAGACGACTGTCAGTTTTAGATTAACATACAAGAGAACGATGCCGGCCTGGGCATGATCTTTGCCTTCCAGGCCAAGAATTGGGTTGGAGTGGCACAAATCACTTCTGCCATTGCCATCGATCGACAACATCAAATCCTCAAGGCGAAGCCAGCCTTCTCTCATTTTGGACCCCGAAGCCAATATCTTGACAACTTTGGGTCCAAAAGTGTTGTTATCAATACCCAGCTCATCAATATCTCTCGCCACATCTGAATTGGCAGCGTAGACAAACCTCAGGCCATGACCATCGGAGGCAAGACTCAAAGCTGTTCTGAGCATGTGAGCTGCTTCATCGCGATTCTTGAGTGACATTGGATTCAAAGGGGTCAAGGTGCAGCCTGTTGCGACAGATGCCCAAGCCGCAAGTACAAAGTCCGCACCATTCTGGAGAAATGTTACCACCGGGGTTCCCGGGCCGAGTTCTTCCAGTAGATCAGCATCTGCGAATATGGACTTTTTGGCCACGACAAGCTTGTGGATGGCTTGAGCAAGAGTTTGAAAAGTCCAGCGAAGATACGGCTGAGATTCATTCTCAGGACTTGTGTCTTGAGAGGCAGAAGGGCCAAGACTAGAAAAGCCAAACAGATCATGCGGCTGATGAGAACACACCAAGGCCAACTCGTTTGGGTGGCTTTTTATAGCCACAAGCAAGCCATCCCAGGCGTCAGGAACTCCTGAAAGATCGAGAGGCGGACCATCGGCTACGCTGAGATCAAGTGATGCGGACACTGGGGCAACCATGTTTGGTTTGCTGATGTTCGGAGGTTATGCAAGTTGTTTTGAAAATTTGAAGACTGAATCTACTGAGAGAGTGACAGATGCTCACATACATGTTGTCAAACGTCAAGTTTATGGCACAAGTGGCATCGGTTACACCGGCGACACCGGTGACACCCATATGTTGAGAGTTCCTAGGATTAGTCCTCGACCCGTACGAGTCTTTCACTCACCGCTCTATTAATATCAGCAAAACATGGAATTATTTGAGTGGTTAGTTGATTGGCCATGAGCGCATACGAATAAATTGATTCTCGTTCACTGAGTCCTGACTCGACACTCTTCTATCCCCAGTTCGTGATCCCGAACCCGCAGTTGCCGGGGAGGCAAGTCCCACACAGTAGAAACTTAAAATCGGTAATTGTGACATTGAGTGTTATCAAAAGAACCCCTACTTCGACCCTGGATTGCGGCAGTGAAAGATGGATGCGCTTGCGACAATCCACATGGCCTGACATAGATCTCGGTCTAGCGTCGTGGAGAGCGCCCATGCCTTCCATCATGTCTGCCCCATTACCTACTGCAATGCGTTAGCGAGATCACCGAAGTATTTCCAAAAGTGTATCGTTAAAATGGCGCCAAATCTCCTAGTGCCAATATTTCTCGTTGACTCCCTGCATACGCCAGAATACCGTCATGACTTGACAGAATTAGAATCCGCTGACCACCTGCATACTGTGTGTGCATTGGTCCAATTGTTACTAACAGAACTACTTCCCCGAAGCCCACCAACCAAAGCCTTGCTGACAAGGATTCAGCGGATTCTCATTCTTACAAGTTACGACGGTAAGTGTCTTCCTAGCCCCTTGCAGCAGCTCGTAAGTCGTAAGAGATGTTAAATCGGGCGCTTTCTTTCATGAAATGTTTCGGTTATCAGGATCTGGCCGTTGCGCTTGCTCATTTTCAAGCCCATCTTACAATCTGCGCGCACGTTCTTCACCTAGCAAAACCTCAGAAGAGGCCTTGCTCCCTTCCACAAAACCCCGTCTGTTTTGGTTCCCTTTGACATCCCCAATTCTGGTCTCATCAATATCCAAAAATGACTTTTTTGACATCTTCAACAGCACATCTCTCATCTTTGGTATTCACTAGCCGACTGTTCTATATTGCCATCGTATCATACTTCCTCATTGCCATCGTGAGGTCATGGAGTCGCTTATGGCATCTACCTGGCCCATTCCCATGTTCTTTCTCGTACTGGCCGATGTTCAGAATTCGCTGCCATGGCGCCCGCGCGTATTCTGAATACGCTAGGCTCACGGCGCAGTACGGCAAGCTCGTTCGTATAGGTCCTAACGATGTGATCACGTCCGATCCGGAGCTTATTAGGCGCATGTCAGCAGCGAAGTCCACTTATGAGCGCAGCAGCTGGTACAAGGCGACTCGGCTAGATCCATACCACGATATGATGGGCAGCGTGCTTGATAAGTCTGCTCATCACTCTTTGAGGACGAAACTGTCTCCAGGTTACGTGGGAAAGGACATCCCAGGACTAGAGGCCAGTATTGACTCGGGAATCGCGGAACTGGTCGACTTAATCCGCCTTAAGTACACGTCGAGGTCAAAGTTGGCCACCATTCCTGAAACAGGCGGAAAGGACCAGGTCTCTAAGCCCTCGGATTCGGAGTCTGTCGACTTCGGCCGCCTTGCAGACTACTACGCCATGGATGCGCGGTCGAGGATGTCGTTCGGTCGGCCTATCGGACTTCTGCAGAAAGACACGGACGTCTTTGGCCTTATCAGAACGTCGAATATTGCCATAGATGTGCTGCAATTCTTCACGGACATTCCCGCGCTTCAAATGATCTTCACGTCGGATCTCTTGCTGAGACTCTTGGGCCCAAAGCCGACGGATTCGAGTGGTTTCGGAAAGATTATGGGGTAAGTCAATTGGCTTTCTGTTTACTAGATGGTTGAAGTCCAAGGCGCAGCCCTGTGGCTTGGGAGATCATTATCATGTTAACCGGTGTCGCCTGCAGACTTGCCCAGCAGCATGTTGTGAAACGCTTCGCTCCGGATGCAAAGGACGAGCCCGACCTACTTGTAAGCCAATCTAAGAAAACATCGGATTTCATTGTAAATCGTTTACAAGTTGAATAGGGATCTTTCATTCGCCGTGGGCTTGACCGACGCTCCGCTCAGTCTGAAATCATGTTTCCAATGGTCGCTGGCTCAGATACAGCCGCAAAGGCCATCAAGTGGACAATGCAATACCTACTGAGCAATCCTTCCGCTTTCAAAAGGCTTGAAGAGGAAGTTATGACAGCGATTTCAAACGGAACAATCTCTGACCCCATCACTAACACCGAGGCTCTGAAACTCCCTTTTCTTCAGGTAAACCCAGGCCGCAGATGACGAGCTGATATTTGCGATCAAGTTCCTGGGCTTCGCGCTAACACTGATCTTTTTAGGCAGTCATTTACGAGTCCCTCCGTGTTCATCCACCATTCACTGGCTTGCTCATGAAGCAGGTCGGGTCTGAAGGTGATGTGCACGAGGGTACATTTTTGCCTCCAGGTACAAGAGTTGCGCACGACACGTGGTCAGTGACGCACGATACACAGCTATTCGGAGAGGACGCCCACATATTTCGACCCCAGAGATGGCTCGAAGCCGATGCGGTCACGGTTAAAGAATGGAAGAAACGAACCGAGCTGGTTTTTGGTGCTGGTAGGTGGCAGTGTGCGGGCAAGGCGGTGGCCATGATAGAGCTGAACAAGATCTTTGTCACTGTGAGTCTTTTCAATCATTCTGGAAAACAACTCGACGTATAGCACCCTAACATTACCAACACCAGCTTATTCGTAACTTCGAGTTTCTGCCGACGAGTGCTTCTATGTCGGTTGTTATCAAAGTTCGCGGGACGGAGTCGACATGATGGGAAAGAGCATCTAACTTCAGATATATGACATAGAGGCGGCAAGGTTAGACGGGATCAAATACCTGCATGAGTTTCTGGTCAATCCTCGAAACAAAGAGAGTACATAAGGCGGCTGGGAATTTCACTCCCGAGCCTTTACTTAGCCCGTCAGAAATCTCTCTTTTCTCATTACTGATATCAACTTCTTTGACGACGGGCGGACCGCAGCTAGCCCTCAATCATCAATGATCCCAGGCTCGATCAGACTTTCAGTAGCATAAGGTCCATGTGTGAGTGGGCACGTAACTTGTTGACTAATTATTGTTCCATATAAAGTTCTGGTAAGATGCATTTTGGCCCGTTCCCCCATGACATATGATGTGCTCTTCAAAACTTGAAACCTTGAGCATTGACGACCAGCAGAAGGTAGGTAGATACATGGAAGATCACAAGCGCGTTTAGGCTACGTAACTTCTATTATCTCATTGGCTTCTCGTCAACTCTCAATCGTATATCCGTTGGTCCGAATGGCACCTAGGTAGAATGGCTGCACCGACAGCCACCAATTTGTTCCACTTTATTGCAGACACGACAACTCCTTTCGTTGTTGGGATCAACAGCGGCGAACAAGCGAATTCCCCCCTGTCACTGATCAGCCAAGAAGAGGGGTAGGCCTCCGTTATCCGACATAAATATAGATAGGCTGCGTTCCTCGCCTGGTTACAGAGTATTCGATCGGTTTACATTCTCATGAATTCGTTCCGCAATGGCCGACAATCAGACCACCGCAAAGGATGCCGGGAGCCCTGCGCCTGTTGGCCCCGCTCTCGAAGCTGAACCTCGAAACGACAATGTGAGGGATTCCGGATAGACGAGCATTAAACATAGCGCTGACTCTGCGCCGTAGGTCGCAAAGGACGATGCCTCGGACAGAGCACCTGTAAACAGGTCCCCTAATGCCGCGTTATCGGATAGTCAAAAGACTCTGCTAACGCTTCTCAGTCTGGGGTATCATCGAGTACGAGCCTATCTAGTTCCATTCTCCAGCATCGCCTGGAGAACGGAAGAACTTATCACAAATACAAGGAAGGGAGTAGGCTCCCCAGACTTTTGTCCCCCTGTGGCAGTGGAATTTCTAATACGGATCAGAATATCTTTTCCCCAATGATGAGAGAGAGAATGAAAGACTAGGTAAGTTGTATCCTCACATTCTCAATAATCTTTCTCAACCATGACCCAGACTTGCAACATGACCTTTATCTTTTGAACTTGTATTACAAGCTTGGTCTTACTCCCCCAAACGAGGAACCTTCACGTGTAAAGCGCGCTATTGACATTGGAACCGGCACAGGCCTTTGGGCAATTGAGTTCGCCGATGAACACCCCGAGGCTGAAGTAAGTTAGCCTCTATGTAGAAGGACTGAGTGCTAATGATACGTAGATTCTAGACGTTGAGCATACTCCGGTACAGAATCAATTGTATTCTCTAATTCTCATTCCGATAGAGTTCATCTGCTCACCATGTTGTGAGTGTTCCACCGAATGTTAAATTCGAAGTCGATGACATTGACCAGCCGTGGGCGTACGGTCAAACCTTGGGCTACATCCACATTCGTGGCATGATATCTAGCATCTCAGACCGGCCTGTATTTGTCGAGAAAGTCTACAAGTTAGTGCCTTTGAGACAGCCCAACAGGTTCCATGATTGACCTGTTCTCTCTAGTGGCCTCGCCCCCGGTGGCTACATTGAATTATTTACGCGCGTACCCAATCTGACGACGAATCACTAACACCGGAGCATGCGATGTGGCAGTGGGCGTGTAAGCTTGGCGAGTGTTGCAAGATCCTTGGGCGTCATTCGTTCACGTCCCAAGTCTTATTGTGCCCATGTTCAAGGAGGCTGGTTTTGATATGGGCTTTTGCTAATGCTTCGGCGGGCCTTGAGGCATGGAATATCGCGGCGTTGGCTAGGGCTCTTAACTGTAGCTACGCCGAGGTCCAGGCTCCTCTGTCCGAAGTGCGCAAATGCATAAACGAGGAAGTATCCACAATTGCACCCCAATGTAAGGCTAACTTTATAACTTGCTAACTTTGATCCATTCTCCCCATGATATCTGCTTGGCCGAAGACTTGACTTTTGTGCTGAATCCATGATGCTGATAACAAGCAGGTGGGTGATCTATGCGCAAAAGCCAGCGAAGAAAGTTGTAGGATTAACCTAACCACTTTATGAGCTTAAGTGAAGACCGTATTCAATTCTACAGTTCTGTTTGAGTGATATCCGGAGCCGCTTGGCAGTAAGACGCTTTCCCATTAAGGTATCCCTCATCAAAATAAACCAGAACCCTCAAGGTGAGAGGGTGAACAAGGTACAAAATACATTGTAGCTGTCTCCAAAGATCATTTAACGTTCAAGATATTCAGAGAAAACCGCACATGTTCCTGGTGTCACATCAACAGTGATCAAGGTAGAGGATATATATGTCATTTCCGTTGGGTTCTTACTATCACATCTGGCCGATCACAGGCACTATGCACATACAGTCTCTAGTGCTTCCACATATGATCACATCGTTGAGAATTAGGAAATACCTCTTGTGGTTGCTATGTCGGATTGCGTCGGGATCTGGATGCATGTCACGTTGCACAACGGTGGTGAGCCTTCTGCGATGCCTGCTCAGACCAGCCAGACTAATCAGCCTGACTGATTGTGCAGGTAGTAGCTAAAGGGGTGCCGACGGAAGTTCCATTGGCTGCCTTGGTGTCCTCATTTAGTCCTTGTGCTGGCGGACTAGCAAGGTTGTGAGTCAAGTTACGACGTCTTTTCATTGGAAAGCCCCGCCTCTGCTTCCCATATATAAGTCGTTGTGCCCCATTCATCAGGACAATGTGATCCCAGGATTTTCATCACTTCTACCACTTCCAACACTTCCACCTTGCCTACTCTGTTCAACTACAACACGATGTTCCCCAAAGACGAAGAGCATAAGAAAAATACGGAAATGACAGAAACTGACACGGAAGTTCATAGCGATAAGGAGAACACTTGTGACACTCCGCCTGAAATTGTCACAATGGAGACATCGGATCAGGAGCAGGAGACAGCGTGGAACCAACAGGAGACAAGTTGGGGCCCATGCAACGATAATTCACAAGACTATTCTGAACATTGCTCTCGGGGCGAAGATGTGTCTTCATGGCCCGCAAACGAGCCTCAGTGGGCTGAATTTATTGTCAGCGGCACGAAGCCAGAAGAAATTGACGACAGCTCACCATCGAGACTGGAGTGGCTAAGACAGAAGCGAGAGAACAACGAAAGGAACGCGTACCTTGACCAACTCATGACTATGGTTGGTCTTGAAAATGTGAAAGCCCATTTTCTTGCTGTCAAGGCCAAGGTCGAGGCGAACAAGCAAGCCGATACCAGGCATAAGAAGTTGCGACTTCATCTAGTTCTCCATGGGAAAGATGGAACAGGTAAGTCTTCGTGAATCAAAGAAGCTGGCCATGAAACTGACCTACTTTAAAGGCAAGAAGTCTGTCGCACAACTTTATGCGCAGTTCCTTCATTCCATTGGGGCTGTGGCCGATCAGACGTTTACCAGAACGTCACAACTATACCCCCATAAACATTCTGATGATGATAAGAAAGATGATAATCACGAAGGAAATGACGATGAAGATGAAGATGAAGATGAAGAGAAGCCGGCAGTAGGTCAGAATTGCAAGGATGTATTGCTCCATACTGACAGTCAGCAGGTTATTTTCTACGATATTTCTGATGGCAGCCACAAATCATGCTCGGACGTCGTTAGCAACGCAATCCAAAATACGGAGGAATCTGTTGTGATTATCTCCTCCAGGATGAAGTCCCTTCTCGACTCTATTGAGAGCAGCGATAAGGCTTTACAGCAATTGCCGGCCCCATTAACCATTTCAGACTATGACGACGAAGAACTGCGACAAATTTTCGTGCGGATTATGCAGAAAAGGGGGTTTTCAGTTGAGGGTGGGTTCGAAGATGGCATTGTGCGCGCCATAGTGCAACGAGTGGCACGAAAACGAAAGTACGAATCATTCTTGAACGTTCATCACTTGCAACGAGAATTGAGCCACGTGTGCACCAGGCAGGCACTTCGACATCGAGGGGAATATATGCGATGGTTCGGCAGTTCTCTGATCTCCGACTCAAAGGCATCGTGTCCGTCAGACCAGCAAAGAAATGATGCGACAGACAACAGCGACCGTCCCCAAGCTCTGGATGTAATCGATGGGCAAGACACGGTATTTACGCCAGAAGATCTCCTAGGACCGGAGCCCAACGACGTAAGACACGACAATGCCTCATGGAAGAAGCTACAAATCATGATCGGACTCAACAGAGTCAAGAGCGAGTGTGGTGATATCATCGATTTCGCTCAGATTAACTATCAGCGTGAGCTTCTGGGACTGAAACCGCTGAAGGTCGGTCTAAACAAAGTGTTTCTCGGACCCCCTGGAGTAGGGAAAACGACTGTCGCTGAATTATACGGCCAAGTCATCATCGATCTCGGGCTTGTCACTGGGAATGAGGTGATGGTACGGAATCCATCTCACTTTATTGGCCAGTACATCGGGGAATCCGAGACGAAGACGGTGGCTATTCTCAATCAAGCTAAGGGGAACGTGCTAATCATCGACGACGCACACATGTTGTATCCTGGTTCAGAGACGGATGAGTTTCGCATCGGAGTGCTTGACACTATTGTTGCGAACGTATCGGCAGATCCAGAGGACAGATGCATTATACTTGTCGGGTACGAATATGAGATGGGTCAGCTGTTCAACAACAGCAACCCAGGGCTTCAGAGACGTTTCCCCAAGGAAACTGCTCTGCACTTTGACCCTTATAGCGAGGACGAATTGTACCAGATCATGGATCTTAAAGCCAAGCAGTGTGACCTCGAGATGACACAAGAGGCCAGGACGGTGGCTCGGCAAGTCATCAGCCGCATGCGCATCAACCCAAAGTCTGGAAATGCGGGAGATGTCGAGAATCTACTCAACCAGGCAAAGATCCGTCTCAATGCGAGAATCAGATCCCGACTTTCTTACGGCCAAGCATCGGTGCAAGCTAGCATCGAACCTGCCGATATTGACCCACAGTGGGATCGGGCTTCACGAGCTGAGGAAAACAGAGCAGCCCTCTTTGAAGATTTTGTCGGGTTCAGATCGATCGTCGAAAAGTTCGAGGGATACCAGCTCCTAGTTGACGGCATGCGGCTACATGATATTGATCCTAGGCCTCATATTCCGTGGGCCTTCATTTTCAAGGGTCCACCAGGAACTGGTAAAACATCGACTGCTCGAAAGATCGGGCGCCTATACTACGACATGGGCCTGCTTTCCACAGATGAGGTTGTGAGTTGCTCAGTCACCGATCTTGTTGGAGAATATCTGGGGCAAACCGGTCCAAAAGTCCTCAAAACCCTTGAAACTGGCCTCGGAAAGGTTCTGTTCATTGACGAAGCCTACCGTTTGGCCACGGGCACCAATGGCACAAGTGGCTCTAACTTCCACATGGAAGCCGTCGGAGAGCTAGTCGATGCCATGACGCAGCCGCGGTACAGGAACAACATGGTCATAATCTTGGCCGGATACACCCGCGAGATGGATTGTTTACTGCAGACCAACCCGGGTTTGCGAAGCAGATTCCCAGAACATATCACATTTGACCCCATGGCTCCACACGCATGTCTTCAGTATCTCAAGAATCAGCTTCATAAGCTCAGGATCGGCATCGTGGAAGGAGATGACTCATCGGAGATTGTCCACGACCTGTTTGAAAGTCTTAGCCTCACAACGGGGTGGGCCAGTGGTCGTGACGTCGAGACGTTGGCCAGAAGGATCATCAGCAGTGTGTACATGCAGCAGGGCAAGTTTGGGAAGAAAGGAGCGGTGGATTCCCTGCAGATGACTACAACTGATCTTATTCCAATACTCGAAGAGATGTGGAAGGAGCGCAGCTGAAGAAAGGCCACATCACATCACGCTCGGTAGCGTGATAAGCATCACCGGACGCATAGTGGTGACATACCTAGGCTATTGTAAGCTGACAAAAAGGCGCTGTACCAACTCCATCGTACAAATTTAGTGCAATGCCATGGCAAGGTTTGTTGAATTATTTTATCGAACGAGACTGAAAGACGCATGTGTCATCTTGTTGAGTGGAGACAGCTTGACTTAAACAGGGTGTTTGTCATCGGATGGGCTTCGCTCATTAAAGTAAACCCCGAGTCCACAATGGCACATAGACCTTACAAACGACAACAGTAATTAATAATAAAAGGTCGACTAAAAGCTTCTGCACTTTTAGAGTGATTTAAGTACTGCATTACGGCTGTGAGAAACCGAGAAAAGTTTGAAACCTTCCATCAGTATATTTTCACCTATCCCAGCTTTGTCCAACCAAACCCCATAAGATTAGAGACTTCAACCTTCCACACCTTTTAGTCTCATAATCCAAGTGTCGAAAGAAACGATGGCTGTCACCGGAGGCTGTATTTGTGGTGCCGTGAGGTACACCGCGGAATGTGAGTTCAGCCTGAAAACGCCACTCTCATTTCAAAGCTCATCATGTCAGTGAACAACGCTACCAAAGCCGTCTGCCATTGCAAGCCTTGCCAGAAAGTAAGTACACCTCCCATAGACGGCATCCTAGTCTGACATGGTGTCAAAAGCGGACTGCAAGCGCCTTCAGCGTCAACATCATCATCCCCCGCGACGCCTTCAAGATAACCCAAGGTAAGAGTGTCCGTGTCCGAGGATCCGCCTCACCTCACAAGTTTCTCATTGTATCGTTCTGACATGCAATTGCAGGTGTCACCAGATCCTATCCCCACCTCGGCGACTCCGGCAAGCTGTACCACAGCCACTTCTGCGACAACTGCGGTGCATCCACCCACGGTATTCCTGACGCGTCCACCTCTGTTCTTGCCATCAAGGCAGGAAGCCTGGACGAAGAGTTCGTCAACTTGGGCGCGATGGACTCCGAGTTTTATGTCGTCGACCGCTTGGGATATTTGAAGGCTTTGGAGGGCGTCAAGCAGCACAATGGGATGATGTGAATATGAGTCTGCCGAAAGCTGGCGCTGCTAGAGATCACAGACTAGTTTGCACAGACGTACAAGAACTCAATACTTTCGCGGGTGTTGCAATTCTTTTCATGTGAACAACAGCAACAGAGCCTCTTGTGATTACTGTGTTGTCGTAAACCAACTTTAACGTACGTATGGCATCTGTGTGAATAAAACGGCTTAATTCCTTCTAAATCAGAGTCCGACGCGAAGGGTCTTTTAAGGAACAGATCCCGACGCGCCGGAATATCGTCGGTCCGAATAAGTGGGTCGGGAGTGGGTCACCTCGCACCTTCCTCTGGGCGCGAGGCTGCCTCGGATGCTTGAGGGCATCACGACATGTGTCGAATATTCAAATGCGCTCCTGCAGTTGGTATGTCCTGGAAAAAAACAAGCACAGGCAATAGATAGTTGCTGCCAGTTGTTCGACTTCCTCGTCAATTAGGTTCCTTCAAATACTTCTCGTGAAATTACCCCTCAATTTCACATTGGATGCTATGAAGATACAGTGAGTTTCACGCTCGCTGAGTATCCGTAAGGGATAAGGCCTAATCGCCCAGAAAAGCCCAGAAGCTCTGGAGCATTGGACGAGTATGGGGCGCTAATTGCACCGCGAAATGAATGTGTGAAATTCTCAGCATTCACTAACTAGCTTGATTGCAATATGCGTCTCGGTTGTACCCACCGCTTGCACTTACTTGGTTTTGTGGCCGTTGTGTACCCTTGAATGCTAACATAAAGCGTAACAACGAATAGTGATAACGCGGCGGCCAATCATCTGGCGCACATTTGATGAAATCTACAAGAGCATCAGCTCAACCCTTTAAGTCCATAAACCTACACTTCTGCTCACCGCCTCTACTGACCAGACTTATGCCAACTCGCTGTTGCATATCACCTTCGCAGAGTATACTCACGGAATCAGTAGACAGTGGTGAGTAAAGGGACCAAGAATTTTGGAAAAGGAAGAACAGCACATGACATCGCCTAAGGCAATGCACAAACCCAAGAAGTCTGTTGTTGGCTTGGCAGTCAACGAGCCGTGGGAACAACACCTTGAAAGCCGGAGGGACATTGCCGAGGAAACACATGAAATTATCTACGGCTTCTTATATCCGCCATCTCTTCAATTGGTCTCGCTCAATTCGATTGTGGCATGCTCACGTCTTGCCTCTCCACCTCGGAGAACCCATCGTTCACATACGTTCACATCAGATTCTACAAAAGACCTTACATCAAATGAAACACCATGATCCATATTGCTCATAATATTCACTCGCAATCCAAGTCTGGAATCTGTTAGCTGTGTCCCTGTGCTACTTGAGCCTTAACTGCTAGTCAAGTCTCTCTTGGGCCTGTCTTTAAACCTGAGAACCGTGGCGTTTAGTAAGTATGAGGCCTGTAGGGGGGGAAACTAGAGCCAGACGAAAGAAACAGGATACCTCCAGGATGAGGAGATGGTCAAGAAACGATGTCTCAAATTGACTGATGACCTTTGCATCAACACTAACAGAAGCTTGCAGCTGCAGCTGGGCTCGCGAATACAGAAAAGACATTGTTGAACAGATAGCCCTATGCCTACTTAGCAATATTATATATTTGTAAGATGGCATCTACTCCTATTCTAATTAAGCAATGAATTTTATCGTCGAAGCTGAAGGGACATCAAGCACATGGCCACTCTGATCATTAGCCATCGCAAGTCGGCCTCTGGAATTCTCCCGCACCTTCATTTTGCCGAGTTTCTGCTATAAAAGGCCCTCATGAATATGAAAAACGTCCAGGAACAAATGTTATCGCCGACTCGATCCACGATTTTGAAAACGTTTGCTGTCAAAGCCGGAGTTCACTCCGAATGCCGCCTCTGTCGCTGCTTTTCTTTTCATACTCATTAAAACAGGCAAAAGTGCATCACTCATACCGTGAGCAATACACAGGAGAAAGAGACACAGAACGATGCCAAGGCAATCTCTTAAATATGGTAAAGCTCGCAGCGACCAGATCACAACACCAATCAACGGTCGAAGAGACGCGTGCTATCTGCGTTGAACCCAGAGAATACCTTGAATGATCCTGAGTTCGCTGAATTCTGCCTGTCAGAACCCGAGGAAATACGACGACGCGTCATGTTTTATAGCCACATGAACATGAGACCACATCGAAACCAATAAGAACTCACCAGAAACCCATCGAATCGTTTTTGCCGACAATGCGGGCTTGTTCTATGATGCTGAGTTTGCAAAGTCCCGCCCACACTCGCGACAAACAAGATCGAGAACTCAAGATGCCAGCGGTCCAAAACATGCACAAATCCAGCCACGGGGTATTATTATGTACAAATAGGCAGTGGGAAAAGATGAAAAACAGAGCCGAGCCGAAGTATGGAAGTTGAAGCCTTGTGTACCTCACTTGTGTTCTAAGCAGACAGCGCCCGCTCCAACTCCAGACTTGAACTGTAGCAAGAGCGGATGCAATTCCACGGTACATACCCAAACACTTGCTTGCGCACATTTAGAGAAAGGGAAGCCTCGTCGGACACGTCTTTATACCGGTATGAGGAATCTCTTTGGCCGATGATGTCTTGCGTACCTTGGCTGCGCCGGCTAGCACACGGACAAGCGTGCTTCCCAACCGGGACTTGAGACGTTTAGCTTTCTTTCACCGTGCCATTATTTAAACGAGTGGTGAAGCTATTCGAAGTGGATGAGAAGGCCAAATGATCAGCTCCAGGAGCGTCACTGGGTGTTCTGTGACTACCGGTAAAACCTGAGTCGACACCAAAAAGTATCCCCGTTCATGTTGCACGACAACTTACAGCCGACTCGGCACACATACTACACCCGAATACCCACCAAACGGCCCAAAATAACAGAGACCAAGGAAGACGAGGCCGCAAATAGTAGACAAACAGAAAGTCTGCAACGTCGCTCATCATCAGCCAACCAAATTCTGAATAGGATGTCTTAACACCAGGCACTGACAAGGATGCCTCCGGATTGTCGTTTTCCATACCGTGTCGCTGATTGCTGTCAAGAGAGGAGCATGTAGCCAGCATAAGAGATGCATTATATACTCAACCGGGCCGTTTCCCACTACAGGTCGAGCACCACGACAACAACCTCCACGTTGCAGCTTATCCGGGACCCTGGAACTGACTGTCTGACGATCATGCGGGCTTGACAGATCGTGAGCGGTCTGCCCGATATCCCAACCGGTCTCGTTTCGCACGCACCATCAACACAGCACAGCATCGAAACAAATAATGTCATCGACCAAGAAAACAGTTCATAATTCCACATCCGTGCTTCTACCGCTGAACCTAACAGTCCCATTCCGACAGCACGGCCGTCCCAAAACTCCGTACGATATGCCCCTATAATTACCCGACGCCTGAGCTCCGGACATCAAAACTCAAAACCCCCAAATCTGATGACTACCCTCCTTCGAAACCCTCTATGACATCTTCTGCCGCTTCGGATCAAGCCCAGGCCCGCCACCAGACACCGTGCTAACACCGCCGTTATTCGACACGTCCGCCAGAGCAGGGCGTCCGGCCCCGCCATCCTGCTGGAGCGGCCTCTTCATCGTCGGCGGCCGGTAAGAGGCGCGGTTGGCGAGGGGACTACCCGCGCCACCGGGGGCGCCGATACGTCGGGCCTGACTGAACTGCGGATTCGGCGCGGGACCAGCACCCGCGGGCCTGACAGGCGTGAATCCGGATCCCTTTGCTGGCGTCTCTGCTTGCTGTGTCGAGGTGGGCGGGACGTGTGTTCCGTTGCGGGAAAGGGGCTTCGAGGAGTTGTGGTCTATGCCGGGGGTTTTGCGTATGGATGGGCTCTCTGCCTTGGGATTGAAGGCTTGTTGCCCGGCTGGCATCATGAGAGGAGTGTCAGT